GCTCAGGTTTCAAGTGTTTCAACTGCCCACTGCTACGAAATATATATTATGCAATTGATTTAATTTCTTTTCTAGAAATACAAGAATCTTTTTTCCACAAAGATTATTTTTAAAAATACTCCAATAGGAATTAGTCAAATATATATATATTATATATAATACTTATTCTAGTACCACTTAATAAAAATATTCAATATATTTTAAGAAAAGAAAAACACTAAAAAGTCAAAGGTACGTATCGTTTTAAAATAATGCAGTCATAACGTGATTGAAAAACCGTTTGAAAAAATCTTTAGTTCTCTAATTCATTTTTTCTCTCTGTCTAACTATTATGCACAAAAATTTTATAAAATAAATTATTTATTTCGAGTTGATAAAAACATACATTTCATATTTTAATTTATTTTATAATAAATATTACTAAAAATAAAATTTTAAATATATTAAATAGACCAAATAAAATTTTAATTTAATTCTCTAAATTTTGAATTAATAAAATGGTAAATGAACACCATGTGTTGCTAAAAAATTCAAATTTGTTTATTTTATTTTATAAAAAACTTTAAGTATTTTTCCTCAATAATATATGCTTATTAACTTTTTTAAATGGTTTTTTTTAAAAAAATAACATATTTCTAATTTTCTAAATTTTTATTTTTTATCTAACAAATTTATTTAATTATTTTTATTACCATTTACTTGAAATAAACAATATATACACATAAAAACTAATTGTTTGTTTTTTTTTAAACAAAATCTATCTTTAAAACACTAAAATATTTAAGTACATTTTTTTCCAACACTTCTTAATTCAAAAATTAAAAAAAAAATAGAATAAATTTTCTTACTACTTTTGCCTTGAGAAGTAAAAGGAAACAATAGAGAAAAAGAGAGGGAGAGATTAAGTTCATCATTTCCCTCACCATCTTTTAGCATTAAAAGGGAACAAACTAAGAAGAACAAAAAAACAAAAACCTATAATGGACATGCAATCAAATTATTAACAGAAATATTTGTAAAAATTATTTAAAAATAGAATTAAAAAAATAAGTATTTTTTATTATGTGATATTTCTTTCAGAATTGTACGTATTAGTTCTCATCTATTATATATTATAAGTCTTATTTATACATATAATGTTGGACTTATAATATTGTACTAAATTATTCAGATTACGCTCGTATTGCAACAACAAAACAAACACTTTATTCAATTGATGTAGCAAATTCATTGATAAAGTATGAGATTTTACGACATTAAAGCATTCATTCAATCATTTAAGAAATCTTATTATTTTGCCCTCTTCTTGATATTTCCTACTAGCATTTGTTATAGTATATGCACAGTGTATTTGACGATTACAAACAGGTATTGATCTTAAGTTTGATAATTTTTCTCATGAAATTTTAAATGAGTGAAGTAATCAGTGGCAGAATTTGTAACTTATTTCAATAAATTTTTTGTTAAAGGGCTGGGATCCTAACGATATTATTTTCCACAAATCGATCATATAGATCTCTCTACATTTTTTCAGTATAATCTATCTAGATCAAATTTTGAGCTATGGAAAGTGAAAATGATCTCATAATCCATGACACAATGTGTTAAACCATTCCCATGCTCTATACACAAGATCATCTTTTGCTAGGGATCAAAACACATTCGTCCACAAATTTCAATATGTTTTTAGAAATCAAAACTAATGTTATCGATTTTGATAAGGAGTAGAAAGTATTACCTGTAAGGACAGATGACACGAGATGGATTAAAAGAATCGTTCGGATGGAAATAATAAGAATTCACAAGAATTTCATCAATTTTTGACGAATTTGAACTAATTGAAGTATCCATATCTGCTCCTCAAATGAATCTTCAAACTTTAAACAGTAATCGAAAAAAAAAATGAAAACCTAGGGTTTTCTTCTCAAGCTTCGAATCACGGCCGATCAACTAAAAAAACTTTAATTGTTTTAATACCATATCAAATCTGTGAGTGATTTACAACTATATTTGACTTAAACTGAGTAAAATTGAAAAATTTGGTAAAATCTACGAAGGGGGGAAGGCTCGAGAAAGTGCAAACTTAAGAGGGAAGAGAGCTCTGAGTTCACAAAATTGGGAATTTTGAGATAATTGTTATCAATGAGCATTAATGAGGTATTTATACAAGAGAAGTAATTTACAGCTATTTACAAATTTAACCCTAACATTGTAAATAATTACAGTTAAACCGGATGTGTCACTTCATGCCCACAAAATTTCCTGTGTTATACGGGAGAAATTGAGAAGTCATAATATTGTAGGCAGAGAATGTTAAAAATTATTAATTTGGTCTTATAAAAAGCTTTCAAGTATTTTTTTTTTCCTCAATTTCCAGTAATATGTTTATCAAAATTTTAAAATAGTTTTAAAATAAATAAATAACATATTTCTAACTTTTTAGATTTTATTTTTATCTAATAATTTTACTTATTTAAAATAAACAATATATAAGCAATAAAAACATCATCAAGAAGTGTAATTGTTTATTTTTTAAATAAAATTTATCTTATTCAAGTTCTTTAAAACACTAAAATATTTAACCACATTTTTTCAACACTTTTTACTTCAAAAATATAAAATTAGAATGAATCTTCTCACTACATTTGCCTTGAAAAATGAAAAGAAACAAAAGAGAGAGAGAGAGAGAGAGAGATTAAGTTAGTATTTTCCTCAGCATCTCCAGCTTGGAAATTAAAAGGAAACAAAGTAAGAAAAACAAAAACAAAAACCTACAAAGGAAGTGCAATGAAACTATTACAAACATATTTCCAAAAAAATATTTACAGACAGAAAAAAGAAAGTGATCATGGCTAATCGATTGCAGAAAAACTTCTACATTACCTAATCGGCTTCCAGCCAGAGAGATACCATGGACAACTAGAAGTCTACACAAACGATGGTTAGGTTTCGTTTAGTCAAAAGACAAAAAAGTTTCATCACATCTCCCTTCTCATCATGATAGAAATAAGGGGAAAAAAAGGTGTCTGACCTGGAGTTTATTTCCACCTGAATCATAGACCTGTCAATTTCTTCTGTCGCATAAGCATTTCTGGTTTCAAATCAATCCTTGTTCAACATCATTGAAATCCCTACAAACTCGAGAAGCTGACTAAATAGAAAATACAAAATTGCAAAGACAAGACAAACAACCATTAGATTCAACTGTGTTAGCTAGCTGATGATTCATCTAGCACTACCGTGGGAGAACATCCATCTCATAACAGCATAGAATCTGCAACTGCAATATGTACTTTAAAATTTGTGAAATATCACCAACTGAACTAATGGCCAACTGACCAAGGGATCTATTCCGCAACTATGCAAGTTATGCTATGCCTAATTACACAGTAAGAGGGAAAAAAAGAAAAAGAAATTCCTAATTATTCACATTTCGGGGCATGACAAATTTCCAAAAGGTAGAGAGAGGAAAAACCTTAACATGTTTTCTGAAGGGAAACTATTTCTGTAGTTGGACGAAGAACAATGTGAAAATCAATGGCGGGTGCTGCATTACTTGCATTGATCAAGACACCAACACCTATAGTCTGATCTTGAGATCTCATAAAGCTCCTCTGGACTCATCTTCTCAAGTTCCTTAGATTTCCAGGAGTCAAAAGCATTAATTAGATTGTGGGTTTCAATTCCTTTCCCATGATGATCTTTTGCACGCATTCTTTTATAAAGTCTCATCACAGAGACACAATCTTCATATGGATCATGTATTCCAGATTGGATATCATACCTGTAAAACAGAAGCCCCATGACATTGGAAAGTAGGGTTGACAAAAAATAAAAATGAAGACTTGAGGAAGATTTCCAAATCTGTGAAAATGGAGGCAAAAAATATTTCATATTTATCAAATTTTTTTATCCTAAAAATAATCCCTCCATGTAGTGCTTGTGTGATAAGGCTAGCAAGAAGAAGAAAATATTCATACTATGAACTCAAGTTGGATAAGTTTCAAATAACTCAACAGATAACTCTAAACCTTTCATTTACTGAGTAGTCTTTGATCCTTTCTCTGTTACT